TACCTGGGGCAAAGGCAGGAAAAGGCTTTACAGGGGACAGCAGAAAGGAAGCCATCACAGGCATGGTCTTTGCATTAAAATGTCAAGGATCAGTCATTTTAATAGGTACTTGCTCAGAATGGCATGGGTGTCTTTTTTCTTATTCTTTTTTCATTTTAGATATGAGATGACCCTTAATATCAAAAGATGTTAACTGTCACAGGGGGAGAACAGGGCTCCAATGAATTCTGAACAGCCAATCGTAATTTAATAAGAAATATTCTTATCATAAGTCAAATGTTGTTCAAGTAAATTGTTTTAAATGCCACTGCAAATAACTTTTTAACCTAACATTTCACCAATCTTGATGCTTCCACTCTATGTTGATAAGGAAAATACATTTTATCAGGCTTACATTGATAAAGGGTTGGCAAGTTTAGCCAAAGCATTTTCAAGGGATTCAAACAGCCTGAAAGCCTTTTCAGGAGGTTTATTTTTTATAGATGTCAATTCATTTGTAAGCCAATAAATTATGTGGTTTGAATTCTGGCTATTGAACTTACATCTGTTGGGCAGGGGCTTGTAGAGAGACTTAGTGAAGCTTTCAAAAAGATATTTTTATCCTATTTACAAATAAAATTGAATTTCAAAACGATGATGGGAATATGCAAGTGAGCAACTTTGTTTGAAATTAGGATGCTTCTTTATTACAAGTTATATCAGCAATTAACCATTTATTCTGGCTTTTGGATGGAAACATTACGAAGTATTTATGTTCTAATGCTCACTTCAAAAGCAAAGTTGGGAAAAATCTATTGCTTACAGATGTAAAAAGAGAAGCTCTTCACTTTTACCCCAGAGAACTGTTCTGATATCTGCAGGCATTCTGCATTAATTTGAGTTAATCAGGCTCAAGAGTGAAAGTTGTTACAAGCAGGGTCTTTTAAGAAAGTAACAAATAGGCAGCTGTTTTTTGCTTCTGTAGTTTTGCGTAGTAGCTGATTACAGGTTATTGAATCTACAATGTGCTAAGCTAATGATTTTATTCGTCCAGCGATCCAGAGTTAACAACTTGATTGGGTAGCCTACCTAGCTATCAGGTTTAACAAAAGCTTGGCTTTTCTACATCATTCAGGATAGTAAAATACTAAAGCTTATTTATGTTTCAGAATAAATGTTGGTAGGATTCCCTTAGTTAAATGAAGTTGTATAGTGTAGTTAGCAAAGGTTATTTCCTTTCAAATTTAATGTGACTTTTTTATCCCCCCTGTGTGGTGGCATTTAAGCATTTGTGTTGTATTTTTATATCATGGTTTTATTCTTGCTGATATTCTTGTGCTTTTGGGTTCCAGCTAGAAGTGAGGTGCTATCTGAGCAGAGAGGAGGCCGTCGGACAGTCATCAGTTTGCGCAGCAGTAGTTTTTGGCAGAAATATTCTGTACAGATACATAAATGCGGACAATTGCTTTTTCTATTAAGCTTTGGCTAAACTTAAATATATTCTTGTCTTTATTTCATTTTATACTGAAATTAGTCCAAAATGATAAGACTGGAAACCTTTGCAGCAAATTAAAGCGCAGAAAAGAGAAAAGAAAAAGAAACATTGTAATTTGATCATGGGCATTATGAGGCTCTGATGTGCCAAACCGTGAAAGCTAAAGGCCTGAATGAAAAGCTTTGCCAAACCAGGGGTTATGCACGTTTATCACTTTACTAATGAAGTAACTAAATTAGCCACTTGGTGGTCACTGCCTGGTCTGTGGACCTCCAACAGCTCTGTGTGAACGCAGACCCAAAAGCATCTATTATACTACCCAACGAAAGCGGCTGAGCCAAGAGGGGCATCCAGACATTCCTCGTAGCTGTTCAGCTGCTGGACCATCTGGAGGGGAAATAAAAGGCCTGGGCTGGGGGCGCTGGCATTGTGCTTATTTATTATTTGGTTTTCCCTTGCCAGGCTTTGTCCCCTTTTCACTCCCTCTGGCCCAGAACAGACGTCCCCTTTGGCCGGGGTGCTATTCTTACAAGCTCCTTTCTATATCATGGACGCTGGAAAGTTCACAAGTTCATGTATCCACTTCATGCTGGCCTTATGTTGGGGACTTCATTATTCCAGCTGCACCTCCACCTATCCCTTTTCTAGTCCCAGTTGGCGCTGGGACTTCATCAGCCAGGGTTGCCGAGTGGAGCACAATAACACCAATCTGTGATGGACATTCCCTGTCACGGTCTGCACATTTTGGCAGCCTTGTTTTCAGTTATTTGGAAGGAAAGGCTCCCAATAGTTCTTGTTACGAGTAGTTCCTGGGTGGTAACTGTTTTGATTAATGGCTCTGTGCATCTGCCTAGTTAGAACTCCAAAATATTGCTCACACACTGGCCCTTTTATTCCAAAGGACTGGTAAAGGCTTCTGACAGCTAGATCGGGACGGTAGATGGTGAAGGGAGGCCCCGGTTTGTGGCAGGCTTTATAAAACTGGGATTGTTCTTTGCCATTTAAAGGAAGATTTATCACTCCAAACCCAACTTTCTTTATCTCTGAGTAAGATTCCTGTCACTCCTGGGTGTCAGCAAGGATTTGACTCTGGGAAGCATTGAATTGCACAGATGAGACATACTTAAGTGTTTGGGGGAATGAATTTAACAACTGACAGTTCCTGGACTATGCCCATTATTGAAGGTAAGGGGCTCTTCATAATATTTTTTGTATAAAATACATTCCTTCCTTTCCTAAATCCCACAGCTGCTTTAGTAAAAAGAGATTGCTTATTCTGTGTATCTCTAGTGCCTTGTTGCTAATAGTTGTTCAATATATGGATGAAGGGAGGTAGGGAGGAAGGAACCCCACAACTCCTCATTCCAATTTGTAGGAGTTTGCGGCTGTCAAGTGTTCCATGGTGGTTTCCAGTACTTGGTACAAATGGTTAACACATAAAGGTGGAGACAAGTGGTATGCCAGTGATTTCATTGGTCCCATTCATGTGTTCTGTGTATATGTATAGCACTGAGAGAGAGTATAGAGTCAGACCAGGGTTCAAATCTTGGCTCCATCTTCATATCAGCACTGTATCCTTGGACAAGTTGCTTAATTTTGCCAAGCCCCAGTTCCCACAACTTAAATGTGGTATGATATCTACTTTAAAGAATGAAGAGGATTAAATGAGATCATATATGTATTCCGTGTAGGCCAGACTTACAGTAAAGGCTCAGAAGTTAAAAATATATATATTCTTCTGAACTTTTAACCGTATTTCATCTTTTCTGCTTTCCTTTGACATTAAATTTATCAATAATGTGCCTTTAAAGATTAAGGAAGCATTGAACATTAGCTGACGCCATTACCATTTAGTAATGAAATATTTACACGTAATATGTCCCCTGTCTGTTTTTGCTCTCTGAGTTCTGGCATTCCACAGCTTCTGTTCTGTTTCTTTGAAGGCAAGTCTATGGCTGATTGACTTGTGTAAGTTACCTCTCCTCAGCTTGCCCCTTGTTTGTAAGTCACAGGTATTTTCTTGGCCGTTTTCTCAATTCCCTTCTTATGTTAGCTTTCTCTGGGATTAGCTACTCTCACTTGCTTACTATTTTAACCCTCAGGACAGCCCTCCCAGATGGGTATTATTCTTCTCATTCTATAAACCAGGGGACTAGAGAAAGTGTTTTAGTACAGATTCTCCTCCAAAGTCACATCTTATAGCAAAAAAAAAAAAAAAAGAATGCAGCTGAAGTTTGTGAATCCATTGGCTCACTTCCTAACTCCTTGAACCAAACCTCAGACAGCTCTGCTTGGTGCAGTTTGGCAGTCGGTCCTGGCTTTCTCCGTCTGCTTGGTTATGTCTAGGACTCAAAATGCCTTTGAAAAGTGGTTGCATGGGGGAGGTAGAGGTGTGTTTGCCGAAGAAATAGGCATTTCAAAGTCTTCATATGCTCATATAGCTCTAATTCAGGTTAAGTTTCCACTCAAGGAATCGCCGTACAGTCAGTCAGTCCATGATGTTGACTGCATCCTGGTGTGAAGAACACACTGAACTATGCATCTGGGGGGAAGCTACAAAAGAAATATAGAGGTTGTGGACCTCGCCCTTAAATTTCTGGCAAGTGGGGAGAAAAAAAATTCTTGCACATGAAATTACTGATGAACATTTGGGAAGTAATATCAATCAGTAGAAATGCATTCTGTGCCAGAAGAGTACTGACAATGTGTCACCATATGTGACAGCTTTTGGATATTTCCTTCCGAACGATCATTTGTTCTGCAGGGGTAGGGCTGTTTTCCCCCTTCAGTCAAAAGAATGTTTTCCCAATCAGGCTGTCTTGGGAAGGAGGGAGATGAAATAAAGAGATAAAAAAAGAAAGCTGCTGTAAAATGAAAGAGGTTTGATTTAGTGAAAATCCAGTGGCCTCCCAAAGAGCAGGGCATGTTAGCTTGTCAATTCAAAACCATGGATACAATCAGGATTTCTCAGTACACTGTGAGTTTTATGGCCTTCTTTCATTGGTTTAGATGGACAAATCCCCAGCCCTTAAAGATAATTTAAAAAGGAGGAAGTCTGTCATGTTCGAGTTTGTTTTTTTTAAAGATGCAAAATTAAGCAAAAGCAGGATAGTCTGGCTTTTATGAAGTTGGTCAGATTACAGCCCAGGGGACTATTAAACTCAGAGTGAATATGAAAGCTATGGCAACCCTGCAAATCCCAGAGCACCATGGGGATTCTCAGCAGATCTTAGGTGACAATTAACAGGCAAACTTTAGGTGGATCTCATTAACCAAGCCTTGGTCCTGTCTAAATTCCTAACTTCTGTGGCTTTGCCTAGCACCTTGGTGTTTCTTTGCTGATGCTTTGATGTTTACATAGCACTCTCAACTTGCTTTGAAAACATTTGCATAGTGATTAGTTAACCCAACAGACCCACTCTGGGAAGGTTGCCAGAAGCCAGCAGCACCTTGGTAATAGAAAAACTGATAATTAGAAGAGACCTTTCGAGACCAGGAGTCTGGACCACCGGCTTGGTGCCACTTCATGTTAATGAGTGGCCCCAGTAAAAATCACGGATGAACTGTTTGTATCCATTTTCTGAGCCCACCTGGTTCTGCTGACACCGTGGTTCTGCTTTAGCTTGTTATGTTTTAAACAGTTGTCTATGGAAAGCAAGCCACACAACCTACAGCAGCATCGGTTTGTTGTGGAAGGCTCTCTTATTTTCAGTTCTGGCTGTGTTCAGCATCTTAAGCTGCATGTTTCCTATTGCAATGATCTACTTCACGCAACATCACCTTTCAGAGTTTTCTGACCCAGGGCTTGGTTTAGCTAAAGGTACCGCTTTTAAACATAGAATGGTGGTTGCCAGGGGATAGGGGAGGAAGAAGTGGGGGAGCTGCTGTGCAGTGGGTATAGAGTTTGCCGTGCAAGATGAAAAAGTTCTAGAGATCTGCTGTACAACAGTGCACACATCAATAGTGAATGATACTATACCACACACTTAAAATTTTGTTAATAGGGTGGATTTCATGTTATGGGGTTTTTGTCACAATAAAAAAATTATATTGGCAAGATAAATACGTTTTTTTTAAAAAGGTGCTGCTTTTTATAGGCAAGGGCTGGTTCTGAGAGCCACGTTTCCGATGGCTGAGGTCACCATCTCAAGGGCATATGTCATGTTTGGCTTCCGTTGCATCATGGTGAAGGTACCTTTAGATGTGCAGGTTTCAGGTTTTCATTGGAAGACCCAATACATTAAAAATGAATTATTGTACAAGCAAATAGCCAGATTCTTTCTTAAAGTATTATGTACCTAGTATTTTATGATGTATATTTTTAGCAAAAATGATTCTGAGAGTTATTGATGACTCCACATTTTTATGGATCCCATGGGAATTGGAAAAACAAGCGTTTGGGTGGTCAGAGAGAGAGAAGACAGAATAACCAAGTGAGCAGAGTGAGACAGCCTAGATAATCAAGTTCTCTGAGATTCTCTATGATTCATATGGTCTGTGGCTCCTTCAAATCTCACTGTCTGAAAGGTTGGAGGAGTGTTTTTCCCCTTTCTCTAGGCAACTGAGCATTACCTACACCTCCCTGGGACTAAAGCAGGCCTCTGGGAGTACTCTTCCTGTCACACCTCATGTAATTGCACCAATGAAGTTAATTGAGTTGCTTTATGAGGAACTTGTGGAAAAGGCATTCGGTCTTATGTAAACAGGGAGGTGGTTTTGTATCTGACTGTTCATCCATTGCCTCTTGCTGCAACCCTCCGGTCCTGCAACAAAGTGGGTCATCTAGGCTGCAGGAAGAGAAACTAAACAACTCATCCAAGCTGGCATGTTGCAACATCTGAACAGGTAGTCTGGCGCTCACGGACTTGCATGGACGCTCTGGCCCTGCAGGCTATTGCTGCTGACCGTATATTTGAAAGGACTGGATGTCAGAAGTGGCCTTTCACCGTCTGTAAGTCCTGGGTCAGATGAGCTGATAAGAGAGGGAACCACTCTCAGTCTAGAGTTTGATAGACTGGTTGGGTGCTTTTCTGCCTAGAGACTCCCTCCATCTGGTAACATTACCCGGCGGTGACCGGACCTTGTGGATGTGCCCCATGTGGGGGCATGAGGCAGCTCCGCTGGCCAGGCTGGGTCCTGGAGAGACCTGTGGTCTTGCTGAGGGGTGTGCAGTGTTAGCTCTCCTGCTGGTCCTTACCAAGACCCTGATTGATCCACAGGAGGGGACCAGGGCATACAGAGCACTCCCAAGGGGCTGGCATGGGTGGGGTGTGCATGGGTGTGCCGAGCAGTGGCGGCAGTAGGACTCCAGGGGCTGCCACAACCTGTCCTTGTTTCCATCTCACACAGGTGAGCGCTGTGGGCTATGGGATGGATGAGGTGGAGCAGGACCAGCATGAGGCCCGACTCAAGGAGCTGTTTGACAGTTTTGACACGACAGGCACTGGGTCCCTGGGACAGGAGGAGCTCACCGACCTTTGCCACATGTTGAGCTTGGAGGAAGTGGCCCCAGTGCTGCAAGAGACACTGCTTCAGGACAACCTCTTGGGCAGGGTAAGTAAGGCCCGGGGAAGAGCACCAGCCGTGGGAAGTGGGGACGATTTCTGTCAGGGCGCTGGGGGTGGGGCAAACCACACATATTGCAAACCACACAGTTTCTAACATTCTGGCTGTGTGTGCCTTTGGCTCTTAACGTGATAAACAGACAAGATGTAACGGGTGACACAGCAGAGCTGTTTGCTCAGGTGATGAGGGCCAGCTGTAATTTGTGCACTGAGCATCTTAGATAAAGAGAAAAATAGGTAACAAGAGGATGTTCTCCAACTTTTGTCTTGTTCTTTGTGGATCATTTTATGGACTCCACTTTTATCATTGAGACAGCAGGGAGGAGACAGATATCCACTGAAGAAAAGGAAAGGCAGTAAGAAAACTGCCATCCACAGGAAAAGCAGGTTTCGGTTATGACTTTTACTTCCAATAAAGCTATTTATTCTTCTGTGGATTGTTTCTGGGGTGAAGTATTAATTAAACCCGTCACCCGGGAAATAAGGCTGGAGAGTAAGTAAATACAGTGTAGATTCATTTAAAACCCAGCACGACTTGCTTCCAGCAGGGATATGCGTGTGTGTGCTAATGTTAACTTCTGCGTTTGACAACAAATAGTCATGTTCTCCCCATAGATCAAGTCACAGAGATGATTAAGAAGTGAGACTGGGTCCTCCCCCTCACCACCCCCCACCCTGCCCCCAACTTGCTGTTAGTGGGAAAGATGTTTGGGCCATCACAACCTGATACTGCCTTCAAGTCTCATAATTATAATGACGACCATTGTTTGTATGGCTTTGGGTTGAGTCTTGCTGTTGATTTTTTGAATGGATGAGAGATAAAAATGGGCAGTACTTTTTGAGTTCTGTTGCTGTCATTGCTGACACTTTGTAGATAGTAGTTTTTATCATGTGGTCTAAATTGAGGAAGCAGTCATGAAGCTCAGCTTTATTGCAGAGACTGAAATTCCTTTTCTTCGTTTCATTTACACTGTTTCTTAGCTGACAAGTTGAGTAAGTGACCTTAGGTACAGTATGTACGATGTGTCAGCTCTTTGTGACATGAGACAGGCAGGAGTAGCGATCATCCTGAAATTAATGCACAAAGGGTGACATTCTCAGGGGCCTGGCATCATGAGTGTGGTGTTTAACAGGGCTCACACTTAAAGAAAAGAAAAAATGTGAGTTTTTGCAAAACTGGGACCATTCTTGGTCACTTTGGGGGCATTAGCTGCTTGTGAATACCCGTGGCCCCTAAAATATGTTAAAGGTTTTGCTTCAAAAGCAGTAGAAATAGAAGATTTGAGGCTTAAACACATAATGCATTCAAGTGTTTTTTAGTTCTGCCTCAATCTCAGACACTTTAGGGAGCCAAGAGTAGCGTGTCCCACTGTGATCCTTGGAGAACTCGGGTCTTTTGGTGTCTAAGGAATCGTATGAAAGAGTGGATCTCTTTTAATGCTTATTAAAGCCTGAGAAGTCATAACACAACTTAAGGTTTCCTTGAGAGATTGCATTAAAATCAGTGTAAATATGGAAACTTCTCCTGTAGATGGACCATACCTTGGCAGCAGATTAGCAGTTTGCTCCCCAGATATTGCACATCTTTGCCCTCATTTGGCAAACTAAAATGGGGAGCAGTTATCGATTGATTTGTTAACGACTTGACATGACCAGCCTGCTTTTTACGTTTGCTATTTGCCTGTGAATAATGAATAGCTAAGTGGTCTATAGCGTGATATTTATTTAGTGTACCCAGGATGAAAACTAAATAGACGTATGCATATTGATTTCATGTGGGAGGTCCCTGGCGATTATCTTGAGAGCAGGGTTGACATGAATTAATACACTACTGTTAAATGTGAATTTTTGATGAAACTGAAGTATTCTCCTCAGATGATCCCATAATCTTGGCTATCTGCTGTTAAGATACTCTATATGGCCTATAATTTTGAATTATAAGAAAAAAATGCCTTCTAATTCACAGAAGCAATCCAAATGCTGTCACCTCCTGGATATAGTGAGTAGGGTCATGAGTTGTAAAATTATGTTGTTTTTCATGCCAGTCATCTTTCTTCTCTTTAGATAGTATTTGTAAAAAGCTTGTAAGGGTTAGCAGTTTGGTTTAATAAAACTGGAGCAAGAAATAGCAGCATGACAAATCTAAATATACGCATCTGTTCATTAATTTAACAAATATTGGGTTGTCGAAAAAGTCATGACATATTTTTTCTATGTTTTTTGTTGCAAAAATGTGTCATGACTTTTCCGACAACCCAATATGTATTGTGTGTGTCAGGCAGTCTATTAGTCTTATGGTATGGGTGCAACTTATTTATGTTTATTGTGAAGTTTTCCATTGAATTGGCTTTTGAGTACGTTAGTATCCATAAATTTCCTGGATGCTTGTGGTTTTAATGCTATTTTTAAAATCTTAATGAGTATGGTTTTAAAGTAAAACAAAACACCCAAGTTTACCATTGGAATTGAGCTGAATTAATCATTTTTCCTTGAAAAACAAGTAAGAAGATAAAAAGTATTGGACCCCTCAACTAAGAATATGAATAGTCTGTTGTTTATTTTTAAATCCATCTTTAATAACTTCTTGTTCTTTTTTCTTGAAGCCTGATGTTTTGTGGGTTTTTTTGACAGCTATTAAGGAAAGTAACTTGACTTGCCATTTTCATGCATTTTAATAATAGGCCATTTACCCCCAAATTATTTTTAAATTCACCTGTCTAATCTTGAAGCCATATTGCCCTGAGCACAGTGGTTACTATGTAAGCGTTTGAAATGCCTAAAGATTGTGGATCACTGATTTGAAGGAAAGAGGACATTGCTGATAGGTGTTTCCAACTAGTTTATCAAAAGAGCTCCATCCATATCTTTGTCACAGTTAAGCATCTGCCAGGTGGTGACACCCCAAGACAAGGGACTTTTCAAGACACTGAAGAATTTATAATCTGGTTAGGTAATGTACCTGGCAGGTAAATAGTACTGGAGCAAATAAATATAGACATTTAAGAAAGGGAACCACGTTAGTTCTTTTATTAAAACAAGTTTTCATCTAAGCAATTGATACCTATTGTAAGTGCTGCCTGTTTTTTATGTCTTTTAAATGAAGTGTTTCTATATGCCTCTCTATCGCTTTTATTAGAAATCAGGACATAAATATGATAATTTACCTTGGTTTTATGGAAGCCTTTAGTTATTATATCTAGTTTAAAAATGCATTTTCCTTTTTTTATGGAATATACCAGCTTTGAGGCAAAACATCCCCATGAGTTTCTGATGAGTTTCCTTGCTATACTCTTTAATATGCATCTGGATGCTGAAGGGCCCCATGTCCTTGTCACTCTTTAGAATCAGAACAAGCTACCTGGTGGCAGAACTCACCATTGGCTTCCAAAGAGCGCCATAGGTATGTGGACTTTGGTCATCAAAGGCACTTTGAAATTTTTTCGTATTAAAATTTGATAGCTGTACAAATATATAATTTAGTTCACCTTTCTCACCTTTCATTTTAAAGTGCTTAAGGTACTTTTATTAATGTCAGGATTAATTTTATATGGAGGATTTGCTTGTTTGTTGTTTCCAATTCATTAAAAGCTTTTTAAGGTTTCTTTTTCTTATACAAATTTTAACCATTTGAAAAGTAAATCAAATACAGAAGCACTTTCTGGCAGTGATTATTTGATCTCGTTCTCCGTGTACAAAATTACGCTTGATCATCAAATAGTGCCTATTTATAACTACCCCGTGTCCATGCACCTGTTTCATGTTATTGATCTGAAGCTTTTTTAATGCATTGGAGGGAATGGTGGAAACATTTCTCATTGCATCTCTTAAATGACTGAACCTTCACTGTACCTTCCTGCTTAACCACCATAGAGTAACCCGAAATGGTAAAGGATATTTTCTGATTCCTATGTTGATCTTCTGACTCTGGGTAGCTCTCCATCACTCCCTTCCTTTACAGCGGTTCTCAACCTTCCTAATGCTGCGACCCCTTAATACAGTTCCTCATGTTGTGGTGACCCCCCAACCATAAAATTATTTTCGTTGCTACTCTATAACTGTAATTTTGCTACTGTTATGAATTGTAATGTAAATATCTTTTTGTTTTCTGATGGTCTTAGGCAACCCCTGTGAAAGGGTCATTTGACCCCCAAAGGGGTCGTGACTCACAGGTTGGGAACCGCTGCTTTACAACATTCTCATCTGGGGTTGAATTGAACTCCTAAGGGTCTGTGGTTCCCATTTACAAACAAGAAGATATTCTGAGTAAGAGGCTACAAGACTTGTTTTTATTCTGTATTGACACCTTCTTGTCAAATTCATTGCAAAATTAACTTTGGTTTTGCATACTGTGAACCTTGAATCTCTCAGAGGTTTTTAACCTGACAAAAGCAAGGGCAGAGGGGAGAGCTGTTGGGAAGGCCTTCTATGCTCCACAAGAGTTGGAAACAAGCACTAAATGATTATTTTTTTTCTACCTGTTTTATTTCAGTAATGACATCTCTTTCGCCAGAGAAAGTATGGTCAAGAATGCTCATTAGATATCCACAATATTTCACGGATACTTTTCTGAGTAGCTTTTTGTCTGGACAAGGAGACTTAAAGTTTTTTAGTGTCCATCACAGATTTTAGACTTCACTGTTCATCTGTGTGACAGAGAAACCTGGAACCCAGAACTTGGACAAGTATAGTGACTCGTCCAAGGTCAGGTACTCATTTGAAGCAGCACTAGAATGGAAACCCAGATTTCTCAGTCCCCAAATATGAATGCATGTCTCCACAGCCTCCTCATACTCCAAATATGCAAAAACGAATCTCATTCTCTGTCTCCTCCCTTCCACCCACTCCTACCCCACATCAAGACAGTACTATTGGAGCACAGTCTTTGAAGTCAGACCTGGATTCACATACTGACTCTTGCCACTTTTTAGCCATACGGGCATTTTATCTTAAATACTCTGAGCCTTAGTTTCTTCATCAGTATAATGGGAA